CCCCATTGTCGCCGTTGTTGCTGATGTGTCCTGGCAGATCCTTTTGTTGCCCTTTTACTATAAACTTTTTGTTCCGAGCTTTTGTTCCAGAAGCTTCCTCTTCAGCTTCTTCTGGTTGTGCAGAAAACAAAGATAAATTGGTTAATTTCCCCCACCCCGCCCAGTCAGACATCAATCGATGTTCGTGTCTCCATCTCGCTTCCGCGGATGCCATCTCCCTCGCTCTGGTAATGGACTTGACTGAGCTTACGCATTATTCTATTTCCCTGGATATCTTCCCAGTTTTTCCGACTCTGTTTTCCTTTCTTTTGGGCTCTTGAGAAGGACACTAGATTAGTTAGACGATTGACAGCTTAAATATATTGAATTTTCACAATAGCAAAAAAAATAATTTAACAAATGTTAGATAAACATTTTCTATAGTTTTTTTTTTATTACTTTTTTAATATAATACAAATGTTATATTTTTTATAAAAGTAGTAAATTAGATTTAATTACATTTCCAATTAAATCATGTTTAAAGTGCTTTGGGACATCAAGCAAAAAATGGAAAATTTTAAATAGCTTGTATCAAGTTTAAATATATGTTTATATATTGTACATTATATACGAACTTAGTACGCACTCCCTCCTTTTTATTGAACTTTTAATTGATTGACTGGCAAATGGAAAAAGTCTAGCCCGTGATAATTAAAAGTCAATGTCGTAACCTACTGACAAGTGGCTCTTACCAATCAATGAGGTGCAAGTTGAGAGACGTATTACAAACCATAATCGTTGCCCGTTACGATGGCAATTCGTCACTCACTTTCAAGAGGAGCAGAAGAAAAAGCATACGGCATTTTCGACAGGATCAAAGTCCAGTGCTATGATATGGATATCTTTTATAATAACATTCCAGGCACCATTCAATTTCTGCATCCCCCAAACCATAAATGAAGATTTCCCGAAATCAGCTACCGTTGGTTTTCCTGGTGCCAGAATTTCCCCTCGGCATTTTCTTGATCCTACATCCTGACTCCTAGAACAAAAAGCGGGAAAGGAAAAACACAGAAAGCGAAACGAAAACTGAAATACGGCTGCATCATTAAATTTAATATGATACTCATTTAATGAAATTGTTGCCGATTTGTTTTGAAAATACACGCGCTTGCTCCGCACTCCCGCTCATTCCCCCTTTCCCCAGAAAACCCCTCCGCTCCTTTGGGCTTGACGCCTCCTTCGGAGAACCACAGCGAGGGCGGCAAGTCCGTTCTCCCCTTTCCCCCCAAACCTTGAGCCCTGGCTTCAACCTCAGCTTCAGTTTTTGTTCCACTGCTCGTGCCAAATGCGGGCGGCGGTTTGGGGGCGGGGCTGCGAGAGTGCAATATTGCGAACATGGCCGGATAATGACGACATCGCCATAGCCATCGACGCCGACGTGGGTTCGGAAGGAAATATGCACTGGCCGCAGGCTGAGTGCGAAGGAGCAGGATAAGCATAATTACACTACAACTCAGAGATTCAACAAGAAGTATAAATAAACTGTGCACCGAACGAGCTTGATTTAAATATTATTTTTATTGTTGTCTTGTTGGTAGCTTTCTTTATAAAAGGATGACGTATTAAAAACCAATGAAAAAATGTTTTAAAAGGACTTTTATGTGACTTCACTTCGATAACATTTTAAAAACTTTTTTGGAATAAAATACACCCACCCCTAAAGGCCTTACTAAGAAGAAATATTTTTTTTTAAATTTATTCATAACAAATTGAAATATTTTGAACAATATTTATTATCTTTGTCGCTTTTAAGTTTAAACATTTGTGCGAACCATATTTTTAATACAAAATTTACTTCACTTTGTTGTCTTTCAATTTAATGTTACCGCAATTTTAATTGCTTGGACTTTCTTTCAGTGCCTTCTGGATCGTAGTTAGTGGCAAAAATCATTCTAATGACAGCAAAACGTAAAAAGCTCTGAAAGTGTTAAGTGGTTCCTCATTAAACTTTATGTACTGCCCTGCTCTCCGCCGGCTGTTCGGTTCGGCTTGGTTCCGTTCCGTTCGGTTCGGTTCAGTCCGCTCCTGTCCCGCTCCTTGAAGTGAAGCTTGCTTGTGTGGGTGACTGTTTGAGGGGGCGGGACTGCTACTCTGGGATGAGGCTTAAACGATTGCTCGACCAGCGTCATTAGCACTTTTAACCGCATATTAAATTTAGTAAAGCCTTGATTAATGGCTTCGCACTTCATTTTTGTGCATTTGACCAGCTCTTAGTTCCTGTTTCCGTATCTGTTTGAGGGGCTCTTCTTAACCACCTCCAACGTTCTTGCTACCGAAAATCTTATCTTTCAATGAATCGCAGAGACAAATGACACGTGATTTTATTTGATTTACTTACATCTGCAGCTCAATTTTCAGTTTGACTTCTGGTGAGTCGAGTTTATCGTTCTGCCGCTTTTTGTCGCTGGCCTTTCTTATGGCCAACAGTTCCAGATACAGTTACAGATACAGTTCCCTGCTTCTTCATTCGGGCCATTATCCGAAATGATTCGATCATTAGCGACGTCGTTCCTGGTCGCAGTCGCAGTCTCAGTCGGGATTGGGATTGTTGTGTTCTTTCGGCATTACGGGTAATTACTGGAATGTTGTGACAACATTTCCCTGCCTTGTCTTCAAATTACTTAATTTTAATGGCCAGCCATATCGCACGAAAAGATTGAGACGTATAGGGAAATTAATACACCCTCTTGTAGGTGGGAATCTTTTCTTTCTCTGTTTATGAACTCAACAGTTGGAGACGATAATTGAAATCGACTGCTTAAACAAATTTGATTTATTCAGTCAAGGAGAAAAAATTAAAAAGAAATAATATCATACAATGTCGTAGGAACATAATTTATTTAAAATTTTTTTAAGGCATAACCGAAATACACCTTTTTATCCCATTTTTACTTAACCTGTAAAGTTTGTATAATTCTTAAATAAAAAAAAATAAGCCGTTTAAAAAGTATTGAAGTATAAGTCTGAATAATGCTAACAATTATTATCATCAGTTTTAAACTGATTAATATTATTTTCCATATGTTCAGGATTTTAATATTTCATAAATAAAAGAGTCAACGGTTTAAAAAGTTTTATGTCTTAATAATGATTTGATAAGCCTAATAGAATAAAAATAAACATTTTAAAAATAATTATAGAAATTGAGACGGTTTTTAATTTTAATATAATACCCTTGCAACGAAAAGGGTAATAAAACACAAAAAGGTGTGTTTTAGGCATTAAGGGATATAGAAATTTTTATTTTTTTAAGTCAGACGAAGCAGTATATAAATGTTTATTTCATTTGTTTAAATTTATTTTTGCATATGAATTTAAACAAAAAACTTTGATAAGGAAAAAAATGATATTAAATATTGACCCACAAGTATTTGTTTATGTTTAACTTATCAAAGGCTTCACCAGTTCGTTTTTATTCCCAATCACCGGCGGCAAGTGTACACCGGCATTCTTGGATCGTCGGTTGCCCCTACACAAATACACCGCACTCACACTCACACAGCGGCAACAATAGGAGCTGTCACAACGGCGGCCATATTGAAAGTCAGTCAAGTATTTCGAAACTCGGGGGCGGAGTCAATCGACGCGCATGCGCATCGGACAAGTGAGCAAGTGCGAGCGAGGCGACAAGTGTGTGCGTAGAGTGCGTCGCGTGTGTAGCGGCCATGCCACCGTTATTTCTGTGCCTCTATCTGCGATGGTGTGGAATGGGAGTGCTGGGCCTTCGACGTCGCATGCGCATCGCATGGCAGAAAAGGAGGAACTGCTCAGGTCCGCTCGAGGGTCCGGGCTTCAGGTCCGGGACTCTAGTTTTCGAACTCGAATTCGAAATCGAAACCTTGCAGGTGTGGGTGCGCTCTCTCTCGGGCAGTTGTCAATGTGTTGGTGCTTTGCTGCACTGGTGTTAGTGCGATCTCCGAATTTTCGCAGCTCGAAATATTTTTCGAATTCGATTTAAAACCGGACTTGAATTCGGTGCTCGGTTTGGACCCATAACTGGTTTGCTCTGGGCCCAGTTTACCTGCCTGCTGTTCAGTCTCTCTGCTTGGGTATCTCTGCATCTGTATCCGTATCTTTGCATCTGTAAGCGTACTGTGTCCAACTGCGACTCCAATTTCCCCGGCATAACCACTGCATTCGGTTAGGCGGTTGCCCGAATCGCTTTTTGGGAGTTAATATTCTATTAGGAGCTCATTTGGCTGATTGCCAGCCAGGATGTGTAATAGCTTTTTGCGCAATTGAATCCGACAATGGCAACCAGGCAATTGGAGTTTGTTTTCCACTTCTAATTATCGACCAGTCGCCCTTTCAATGATTTATGTGCTTCGCTCAATATCGTCTTGATGGATCGATGGCCGATCAATTGATGGATTGTGTGAACCCGGTCTTCGAGCACTTGTCCGCTCGCATCTCGCATCTCGCTGTCTTCATTATTAGCTCGAGTGGATTTCTGACATCTTGCTTTGTTTCCTACAAATTCTCAACCGGTCTCAATTTGCTTTCCGTAATTAATGATTTATCTCAGTTTTTTTGAAGTGTTGTCTTAATTCCAGCGAAGTGATTATTGATAGTTTTTCCATCGCACTCACTCGATCCGAAAGTGTGAGATGTCTCAAGTGACTTGGTATCCATCTCCGATTGGCCCTAGGCAGATAGTTCGATCAACGAGTTTTGCAGTTTACATCTTTACAGATGGCTGACGTTACTGATATGTTAAATATCTCACATTTACATCGTTGTCTTCGGACACTTGTCTCTTGTTTCTTGTTGGGTCTTTGGTATTTCGATTATGTTTAATTTCCATTGATTAAGTTATACTTTCTGCTTACCGGAACATTTTTCTTTTCCTGGATTAAATGTTTAATTGAAAACATCTACAGTTCATATATTAAAAAATATATAACATCAGTAAAAAACGTTTTAGGAACCAAACTATAGAATTAGTCAAAGTTCGTCAGAGTTGACGAATTCCAATGTGAAATGCCAATATAAATAAATAATCAATTACTTGAGGGGAATATTTAATGTTCTAAATTAATAAATTTATAATTTATCATATTTACAATTATTCAATTTAACATTATGAAATTTTTTAATTGGTTCCTATTTGAGTTTATAAGAACTGAAATACTTATCAATAATCAATTGCTATTTACATAATCTGTCAAATCATAAATAACAGTTAAGTTTAAAACTACATGTTGTATCGCCTTAGATTTTAACATATTATTAATTGCTATTATTAACAAACTTATGTCTTCATGCTCCCAGAATGGATGATTTAGTAGAAATTGCAAAACGGCTCTCGAAAATATCTTTGTAATAAGCCATTCAACTCATTATCACACCCCATAGAATATTAGATTTAGAAAAAAGTATGTACACGTTCAGAGAAATGTTTTTATGTTGGAGAGACTAGGTGGAATCTTAATGAAATTTCTATTTGAGGGCCAAGTAGGAACCATTTTAATTAACTTCAGCAGACCGAAAACCAACTAGGAACTCAAACTTGGCAGAAAATCTTGTGGGAATGGATGCGTCCTCTCGATGCCGCTGATTCGACCATGGAAATGGAATATTTACATTCGCATCCGTGAGTCCAAATTGGCAGCTGCTCAAATCTGAAGCTATTTATGTCAACTAGGGATGCGTTGTGATTGCGGCAAACACCTCGAACCGAATGCTAACATATAGTATGGCAACACAGAAAACACAAGAATTGTGCAGGCAGGGAATTTTTACAAGTCAAAATTCTGCCCGAATTGCTCATGTGATTCTGTGACATAAACGTGAGCACATTCACTGAATTCGCGATTACAAATGGCTGGCGATTATGCTAACAATGCGAATTCAATTTGTTTGAGCTCCTGACTGCCCCGAGTTCGGGTTTATTTAAGTTGAGGCCAGTTTATGCGGGTGGAGCAGCTGCTGATCGTGGACCTCGAGTCCGGGGCTCAGGTGTCTGGGTTGGCCATTGGTCAGAGCTTTGTTAATGCCACTTGATTAATCGCTTATTATGATGTCAGATTAATAAGATCGTTTTCAAAAATGGTCCGCGTCTGAGGCCTGCAAAAAGAAGCAAATGTTAAGTGAACGATTCCACGTGAAGTGGTTATTTAATTCAGTGCTTACCCAATGACATAATCAGTGGTCTCAGGAAATCTTCACTCAATGAATAGTAGTACAGTGATTTCCACTTAAAGAAAACAACATATTAACAGAATATTTCATTATTTGGTATCTAAATAGCTTACCTTTAGACTCAAAGTTGATGACATCTATGACCCACAAAAATGATAACAAATTAAATAAAAAGACAATTTGAATTAAATTTTTAAATACTATATTTTTATTATAAATATTACAAATAAAAACAAAATCTCATTTGTAATTTAATCATAATTTTCTTTATGCTTTTCGCTTTGCCTTTGCAGCCCTTCACTGCATTCTCCATCCTCTTGTTTACACTAAAGTTTAAATTTTATTTACAACAAATGGTTTAGCTTCCACATTTCGTTTCAATTTCGCACAAATGTTTGAGTGTATTAAATGTTTTCTTTTGTTTCAAATATATATATTTTTATCAACGCTTTTGAATTTTGTTTCTTGTGAAATTCTACATTCTAAAATTTATGTTTTTTCCATTTTTTTATAATTTTTTAAAATTGAAACTTAAGTAATTAGTTTCTTACAGAATGAGGCCGAAAGTTACGTATCTGGATTGAGTTGAATTTCGCTCTCAAGGTTGTTTTAGCCAATACTTTGTAGAGTTCTTTCGAATCCTTTGACTATTTTCTTCTATTGCAAATCACAAATCCTTTCACCTGGGATTAAACATCGGTTAGGAAAAGGGACGAGGGTTTTCGGGGGAATTTACAAAACGAAACGCTCTATAAAGTTACATGTTTCATATTAGGTTTGTTTAATTATATATATCTACATATAAACATATGATGCTTTATAGTTTTCCTTCCCGTCCTTCTATTTATTTCTCCTTCGTTCCTTTGACTTTGGTATATGGATTTCCACAGATGGTGTGGAAATTGAGTTTGAGTTACGTACATTCATTTATATAGTGTTAGGCAAATATTCATATAGAAATCGCTCGGTTCTGCTCTCAAAAGGGGATTCACTATTTCCTCGTATAATAATGCGTTCACTTCATTTTACTACTTTACAGGGTTTTTGTTTGAATTCATTATTTATACATATTTTTTGTGTACCTCTGTTTACATTTTTTTTTTTAATTTCGTCCTCACTTGCCAATTCATAAATTTATGCATTTCGGTATACTTTATATCCTTTTCGACCTAACTCGATTGTAAAGAACTTAAAATTGCACAAGAAATTAAAAATAAAAAAAGTACAGAATCAATCGATCTTTTAACCAAAAATTGAGGAACTCTCAAATTGGGTAAGCTTAAATTTGCACTTGCGAGTTTTATAAAGTTCAATTCTCCATCAAAATTTTAGATTTATTTTTTAAGTTTCGCCAATCGTTCTGTTCATGGTTAAGCTTCTGTAGGTATTATTTTTATTGAATGTGTAAAACGCTTTTATTACTTTAAGCAACGTTATTCCATGGTTTTGGTATTTCTTTGTCTAAATTTGCGACATTCACTTAGGGCAAAGTGTTCTATTATCGTGTTCAGTATTATAAAGTATTTATGGGTTTCTTGAACCAACATGCAATGGATTTTGACGCCATTCATTTTTATTTAGTTTTTATTGGTTTTTATTTTATACTTTTGCGCTAGAGATGCTACACACATTGATTTAGTTTAATGTTTATGTTTTAGGTTTAGGGTTTATGCTGGTGTGTATATATAAGTTAATCGTACAGTACTTATGACGCGTAGAACTAAGTTATCATGTATATAGTATATATGCTTCATATATATTTATTTATATATAACTCCTTGCCTTTAGCTTTACTTGGTATCATGTATAGTTATCCATATATTTATATGTATATATGCATTATAGTTAAATATAGCTTATTTAGATCTGAGGTCACATGAGTTGGTTTTGTTTGAGTTTTACGCTTTACTTGTATCTTTATCGTAGTCGTTATCTTTACGTTTATCTTATTTCGCTTTCTCCACTTGCCATTCGTGTACAATTAAATAATAAGTAGAAAATAATAACAATTAACTAAGTTTTAGGTAGAGTTCTCAGCTCTGCTCTTTGTTTAGTTTAGTTCACGCGAAGTTCAACGGATTGAATGGGATAGGTAAAGATAGTCCTCTGGGATCGAAGTAAATTCATTTGCGCTCGCCGAACTAACGTAAATTGTATTTAGATAGAAATTTCATTTAACTGCTGGACTCCGGCGGATCTACTGCGGATGCGGATCTACTGCGGACTGTTGGGTGGCGTTATCTCATCGCCCTCGCCTCCCGATCCCGGCTCGCCCTTCGTCTTGTTCTCCTTCTTCCACTTCATGCGCCGATTCTGGAACCAAATCTTTATCTGGCGCTCCGTGAGACATAAAGCGTGGGCGATCTCGATCCTCCTCCGACGGGTCAAGTAGCGGTTGAAGTGGAACTCCTTCTCCAGCTCCAGCGTCTGGTACCGGGTGTACGTCTGCCTTCCGCGCTTGCGTTCTGTTGGTTCCAAGTAAATAAAACAATATTCACAATTAAAATCAATGCAACGCTTGACCGGCCACCAAGTCAACAACAACAACAAATTCTACTTTTCTACAGGTCCACTACCATGCATACGACAAGAAGAGCTGGAATAAAATATATATGTGCGTTGTTCTGTATCTTTTTTGTTTCTCTCCCGGATAAGTCGGATGAGGGAAGGGGATTGCGGGTTGGGCGAACCCAAAACCACATGAAGCAAGGCGCTGAGACTCTGAAACTGAGGCTGATTAAAAGACAACCTTACCGAATTCGGATATTTGTACTTGTCAAAAAAAAAAAGAGCACAACAGGGCCCACAACAGGTCTGTGACGAGGGGCGGAGGCCAAAGGGGTCTTTCTCCTCTCTGCCGGCCATCCCGATAGGAACTCTGGGTTTAATTTTCAAGGCATACCCTTACCCAGGGTACTAGGACTTATTCGAAGAACGAAATTATAGGTATAAAAGGCACATTTTGTTATGTTTTAAAATAAATAAAGAAGTACAAATTTTAAGGATATTACCATACGGAATTGTAGTTCTTGAACATGGTTTTTATAACCATTAAAGCTTGTTTGAGAGAGCATCTTATATTCGCCAAAGCGCCCAATTTTGGGTTTCACTTGTGGATTAAACTCGCGGAGATTTCATGGACATCAAGCGGCGAGCAGACAAGGTAACTAATTATGCCCCAATGCGGTCTGTCCGTTCATCTGTCGTCCGTCCGTCCGTATCTTTGTCCGTAAGGCAGAGAGGTATCATGCCTGTGATTCAGGCAAGTGCAGTTTCACCTTCGATCTCCGCTCACGCCCCTTGTATTTTTCCCCTTGGACGGTAGCCGGGCATAACTGTAAAATAATTCAGCATAATTACGAAGGCTGCCTCCGCCCCCCGAAACCGCTCCATTTCGAAAGCAGCCAACCAAATGAGTTCGGCGCCTAATGACACTTACTATAATTATAATTTCGGTAATGACAAAAAAAGAACGCAGTGAAAACGTCGGGAAAAATATGTCAAATATAATACGCAGCAGCAAATATTATAATTGTCAATGGCAGAGGCAGGTAATTGAAATGGGTTGCTAGCGTGAGAAGCCATTTTCGGGTGGAGTTTTCCCGGCTGCTTCTTGAGGTGCCCCTTTTTGTGTGGCTAGTTTTTTGTGGAATGGAAAATGTCCGGCCGGAAATTGGAAGGCGGCCACAGCAGCATTGGCATTCCGGTGGCTTTTGACCAACCACGCCAAGCGGCAATCAGTGGAAGCCCCTCACCCAAAACCAGTCGTCTTGAGGTGGGCAGTCTTAACTATTTTTTAATAACATCTTCAGCATTTGTCTTGCTCAACTCGCTCGTCCAATTTTTTCTTTCTTAATATTTTATGTATTTTTTTTGTGTTCCATCTCTGGCTCGAGGTCATTACATCATAAGCTCTTTTATGTATTTTTCTCGTACTTTTTTTTTGGATTTTGTGCGGCATCCATTAAGGCGCGCGAATCCCAATCGTATAGAACCGGTGGAGGGGGAGCTATACTGGGGGGAAAAACAGCACAGCGGTGGTCAGAGCAGCTACCTTCTTTTAAATGACACGGCTGATGCCATGTCTATAACCCGAGGCGTTCGCATTTAATCATCATCAGTTAGACGAGTTGCTGCGCCGGCAAAAAATCTTGAAAGATTTGTGGCAAAAAGCGTGCGTGGTCATCCCCCTTGGCCTGCGCACCTTTTTTTCTGCAGTCCGCGAAGAATCCAGGGGGCAGGTCCAAAGAGTTGGGTATTAGGAGCGGATTAAGAGCGGAATAGATGGGCTGGACTTTCACCCCGGATGATGAATAACAAAGAGAGAGATTTAATAACGAGAAAGATTGTTCTAAATATAAATTTGAAGAGGTGTTCGCTTATTGAATAAATTAATAAGAAATTCAAACACATCCTATTAATCTCGTAACAACAAATCTAAACTAATTTAGCTTGTTTAACCATTATGCATTAGACAAATTGAAATCAAAAATGCTTATATTAGAAAGTTCGGTAATTATCACTCATTTCTAAAATCCACAGCTCTTTTGGCCTGCTCATAAATATATATTTAGTTCCCATCTGATCACTATCTTGTTCTCTCGGTGGAACACATTCAGCACATTTCCATTTCCATTTGCATTTCCACTCCCATTCGAGGTAACAGAAGCTTTTGCTGATAATTAGCAACTCAAAGCTGAATGCCTGCCCCTCATGCATTGCAAATAAATGATTATTTTAATTGATGAAAACACCTACAAGTTATGCATACAAGACTGAGATCCCCCTTGAGAAGTGGAGTTAAGTTGAGTTGAGCTGAGGGGGCCGAGGGTTTCGGGTGGCCAGAGTGAATGGGCAGAGGGGCGTGCATTGGCAATTTAAGAGCGGGCGCTCTCTGAAATTTGTTTTTAATGATGCCTTTGCACATTTCATGTTGCCATCACTCAGAAAATATAACAACAAAACATCGTACAAGAAATGAGAAAGGAAAAGAAACTTGTTCTTAGATATTTGTAAGAAGAGCGTTGATCGGATGGGGCGCCCTTCTCAGGACAGGAGCTTCGAATTGAGCTCTGAAAAATTATTATAAACGCATTAATGGCGCTTTGAAGCCGAAGGAGAAGGAACGAAGAAAAAAGCAGGGGAACGTGGAGCCAAGGTGGAGGTATCAACAACAGAAATATAATAAAGGTGAAACAATTAATATGAAAAAGAGTAGCGATACATGTGAAGTACCAAAGGCAAGACCTCGTCGGTTCTCCGCTCCTCTCCTCTCCCCTGCCACGCCCCCGCCCCCCTTACCACCCCCCTTTGGCCCACACATCTGAAGTGGCTGAGTGGTTGACTGACGGACCGAGTGGACCGGGGGCATTAATGCTTTTTGATATGAAAGCGTATTGTAATTAAATTGCGATTAGGCCACCATTTTAACCATTTTACTCGTTTATTACACTGCTCCGGCTCCATAATGGATTTTATTTCATTTTCTTCCCCTGCCACAGCTCCCTGCCCTCTCCCCATCCCCGCACACACAATTACATTAGTGCTATTGGGTGTGTGTATGTGTGTGTCGGTTAACGTTTAAAGGAAATCATTAAAGTAATTGCTAACAACATTTTATGGAATTCGTTGGAGCAGGAAAAAATTAAAAAGCATTAGTTAATAGCTCAAAAAATTCTATTTTATAATGCCCATAATGAATTATTATATTGGCTGAGATTGCTTTTTCATCGCGCACGAGTCTCGTCGAGCGGAACTAAAACAATGCCCAGCATCGTGCGAGGAAGTCGCGCAAATGCGAAATAAATTTCTGGAAGGGAGCTCAGAAAAGTAATGCTACTCTTGTCATTTTTTTGTTTACTGTGTTAGTTTTTAAATTTATTAAGTTCATATTTTTGTAGCATCTGCCTAAAAGTGAAAACACGTTTTTGGAATGGTATCCATTCGTAATACTCAGTAGAATGCCATTAATGCGGATAACCTCCAAAATAAATAACTTGGCCGCAGGTGAAGGCTATATCCATTCCCAACTGCAGTTGGGTGGTCGTCGTTGCAGTCGCAGTTTCTTGGCCAAAAAGCCGCTCGTCATGCAACAAATACAAAAATGCATTTAGCTGCAAACAAAACGAAACGTAAACAAGTACAAACCGCCAAGCAAAAAAAAGCTCACATCAAACGCGAGTAAATGTTTTTTTAATTGCGGAAATTACGGACAAACGCGAGCCGCCGCAACAAAGCTGGAAAATTATTATTATTTATGATCGTAAGTTGATAAATTTTTCACCCAGCTGAAAAGTGTTCGTGTGTGGCATTTCGTGAAAAAAGATACAAATACCGCTGGTTGATGTCACTTTGTTCTCCGTGCTGTTCTGGTGTGAATCTGCCAACTCATTCGCTGACTTTGTGCTAAATAAGCATTGGGTCAAGAGGGCGCAGGGGGAAATTGAAGTGGGTGCTCTTTTTCTACCGAAAAGTTTTCCTCCCATTTGATTGTTTTGCATATTTGACGTATTTTTGCCGTTGCAAACTTTTCGCTTTGTGTTTTCACAACCTTTGGGGAGTTACCCGAAAATGGCTCGAAAAGGAGCAGGAATAAATACAACCCGAAATCCTTCTGAGGTTTGACGTCTTTAACTGCCCCGCCAGCAATTCCTCGATGTTTCCCTTTTTTTTAATTAAGTCCAAGAATTTTCGTTGTTATTTCCAGAGGTGAGAGCAACAATTAAATATTTCCATTGACCGTTTGATCATTTGTTACCAGTCGGTTTTTTTAATTATCATCTGGCTGCCCTTTTCCATCTGACTATAATCTCGGGAGACACGACAGCGTTTTTAATTTGGGACTTGGTAAGCACTTAAGAGGGTTAAAAATCGACAAAAGTTGACAAAAAATGGAGTCCAAAAAATCAGAGAAAAAAGGGCTAGAAAGGATCGCCAAGGAGTTGACTTGGGGCTTACAAATGCATTCGTTTTAGAAATAAAAGAGGGGGACTTTAAACTTTATTTAGTTATCGCTTAAACAAAGGCGGAACGCAGAGCGAAGGGAGAAATAAGAAAACTATGCGCGCCATCTGATTGTTGTTGCGGGTTCTTTTTTCTTTGCGTTCTTACCACCGTTTTCGAGGTATACACTTGAAAAAAACTGGTCAGAAAATGTCATTGTTAGTGGAAAAAAAAATTTTAACATTATGATAAGTATCCAAATATAACTGTGATTAAATATAATTTGTAATGCTAAAATTAAAAAAAAAGTTTTAAGTAAATTTAGGACACGAACTAAGTCTTGTTACTACATTGGGCAGGTGCTACGGGTAAGTTTTGAAAACCTGTTTCCCCTCCTAGAGAAATGGGGACCTTTTTTTAAGTGTATCCATTCCCCATTTTGGATGCTCACTGTGGCCATTGCTACCCATGTCAAAATATTTGACAGCTGACTAAAACACGCTACGCGAGGGACGCGAGAGAA